ACTTTCCCCTCTAAAGCAGTGGCTTTTCTCTCCAAAAATGTCATTTATCCCTTTAAAAATGTGGATTATCCCTTGAAAACCGTCATTTTTCACCAATAAAGTCTTTTTTTTCCCCCATAAAACCGTGGATTTTCCTTCTAGAAATGGGGGGGGTTCCTCCCAAAAAATGTGGATTTTTCTCCCAAAAAGTCGGATTTTCCCTTCCAAATTGTTTTTTTTCCTCTAAAACTGTTGGATTTTCCCCCCCGCAGGTCCGGTGATGTCATCGGTGTCGTCACGGCTGCCCCGGTGACGTCATGGCGGCGGTGGAGGGGGCGTGGCCGGGGCGGGGGGCGGAGCCCTCCGAGAGCAGCCCCGAGCCCCCCTCCCCCTCCTCCTCCCGCCCTCCCCTCTCCGACTCCAGCCCCTCCCCCACCGAGACCACGCCCACCCCGCGGGGGCGGGGCCCGGGGGGCGGGGCCAGCACTCGCCCCACCCCTCCCACCCTGCCCGGGCTGTCCAGCGAGCGCCCCCTGGCGTTGTTCGAGGTGAGGACACGCCCCCTTCGCTAGCCCCGCCCCTTCATTTGCATCAGCCCGTTAGACCCTCCCAGTGCTGTGTAGCAGTGAGGCCACGCCCCCGTCATTAGCCCCACTCCTTCATTAGCCCTGGCACTGAGGTGAGGCCACGCCCCCTCCCCAAATCCCTCCCCTCGATAGCCCCGCCCCCCACGATGCTGTTTGGCCAAGTTTTGGCCAAGTTTTGTTGCTGTTTGGGCAAGGCCACACCCCCGTCAAAGCCCCGCCCATTAGCCCCGCCCCATAACACCCTGACCCTGCAAGAGGTGAGGCCACACCCCCTCCCAAGCCACACCCCTCTCCAAGTCACGCCCCATCTCCAAGCCACTCCCCCTTAGTGCCCTGGTGCTCTTTGTGGTGAGGCCACACCCTTTCCCAAGCCCCGCCTCCCTCATTGGCCCCACCCCCTTACCGCTGCAGCATGAGAAGGCCCCGCCCCCTCAGCCCCGCCCTTCACTGCCCCCGCCCCTTTAGAACCACGTGCTCCTAATTGTAGGGCCACACCCCCTCATTAGCACCGCTCCCTCATTGGCCACGCCCCCTAATTAACCCCTCCCCTCATTAACCCCACTCTGTCCCCGCCCCCAGGAGGAGCTGGCGACGCGCCCGCGGGTCCCGGCGCTGCTGCGCAGGATCGCCCCGTACAGCGCCCTGAGCCCCGAGAGCGACACCGCAGCGGTGAGGGGGGACGGGGGGGACGGGGGGG